TATTATAAACAAAGCTTTCTTTAAGTGTATCTAGTTTAGGAATTAAATTTTAAATAATATTCACAAAATCATAATAAATATCAAGTAGGAAGAAATACAAAATAAAATCCGACTCCTTTTGGCATTTATAATTGGTTCTATCAAAATAACAACCTAATCAGATTTTTCCCTGTAGGAAAAATTAAGACAGAATTACATTCCTAACTAAAAGCCTCAGATTCAACATTTGTCTCGTTGCTCTTAAACACAATATTCAACCACAGTGTACTTACTATATAAAATGTCTAATGAACACAGATAGTAACCATTCCTTTAAGGGCAATTAATGTGATAGTTTAAATTTATCGTTGACAATTTCACCTTAGTAATTTTTCACTTTAATCTTAATTTTTCTTGAGCAAATATTCAACATTCATTCATTCAACAGATAGTAGCATATGCTAAGTATCAACCTCTATTCTAGGCTCTGGGAATACAACTATGAGGCCCATCCTCAGGAGTTTACACTATTAGGGAAAAACATATAACAAGCAAATAAATAAACACATAACACATGGAAGTGGGAATCCCAGGATCAAGTATTTTCTTTTACCACGCTGACTCTTCAATTGCAAGAAATCTATTTCAGAGCTGCTGTCTCATCCAAACTAGTAGATTTACCAGGGGTTGTAAAGCTAACTCAAGTCATATTTATCTTTTAATTATATTCTCCAGTCTTTTCCCATCTTAACTTTTCACCCCTTACTGGTATCACTTTATTCAGACAAAAGACCTTGAGGCTTCCACTTTGATGGCCTAAGTGGTACAATGTTAAATTTAGCGCTGATAGTGATTTCTGAGGCCAGGTTTCCCAACTGACTCACCACTTCAACACCAGAATTTATTAGCATATGCCTAGCACCAAGTAGGCATATTCATGTTTGGTGAACAAATTAATCCATAAAAATCAATCTCCAGCACAAGTTGTAATCAAAACCTTATAAACATCATCCTTAATAACAGCTTTTCCTTTTAGGGATTTACCAAATCTGATTAAAAATAAAAGATTTCTCCTCCCACAAATGTTTGAGAATATGTACAGACAAATGACTGGAAACCCTCAAATAAATCACCTTTTTCAAAACATTTTTTAGAACTTTGCTTTAAGGTGGCCAGGCAGGGTGGCTCACGCCTGTAATCCTACCACTTTGGGAGGTGAGGTAGGTGGATCATGAGGTCAGGAGATCGAGACCATCATGGCTAACATGTTGAAACTCTGTCTTTACTAAAAATACAGAGAATTAGCCGGGCATGGTAGCATGTGCCTGTAGTCCCAGCTACTCAGGAGGCTAAAGCAGAAATGCTTGAACCCTGGAGGCGTAGGTTGCAGTGAGCTGAGATCACGCCACTGTACTCCAGCCTGGGCCACAGAGTGAGACTCTGTCTCAAAAAAAAAAAAAAAAAAAGAGAGAGAGCAAACTTTGCTTTAAGGCATGCTTTGAAATCGGTTTACCAACCACACAAGAAACTATCCCCTTTTTACTAATTTGCAAAAAATGCTCTCAGTCTATTTTTTTCTTTCACTTCTTTTAGTCTATTCCTCACCTCCCCCGTAACTGCACTAATAGCCAAGGGACTCCCCTCCTAATTTACGCTGAGGACCCATCCACCTATCCCCCAAGAAAATAGTGAGCAATAAACCTTGATAGAGCCTAGGATTTAAATTCATCAGCACAAGGCACATACAGAAAAACAAAAAAAGATGTATTAACTACTAATATTTGTATAATGACTGACAATTTACAAAGTTATACCCTCCATCATCTTATATGACCTTCATAACAATGTGAGAACAGTGAAAAAAGTGCTATTATCCCAATTTTACACAACAGGAAATTAAAGCTTAGAAAGTTCAAACTATTTCCCCAACATCCCATCATAAATAAGTGGTAAAGTTGAGCATCATCCTTTATAATGCTTAACATATAGTTTTTAGTGTTGCCATAGGTATAATCTGTTGATAGACATAGTATTTATCACTGCAACTCCAGTCTATTTATTTAACTTCAAACACTTTTAAAATGTTACAAAGTTTAAGAGCTATCTGCTTGCTTCAAGATTCCTTCTCCTTACATATATTTAAGGCATTGTATCATCAAAATTAAACCTGACTCTGAAATAGCAGTCGATTCCAGATTACAATCAATTGAGGAGGTACTTCATGGTCTGGGAAACCACAAAATTTCAAAGCACAGTTTTTAAAAAGCCATAATCTGACAGCCTCACTCAGGGAAATCTGTAAAGTCATTGTGGTGAACAATTTTAGATGTCTGCTTAACTAGATTAAGGAATACCTAGAAACCTGGTAAAGCACTACTTTGGATGTGTCTGTGAAGATGTTTCCAGAGAAGACTAAGATTAGCACATGAATCTGAGTGGACTACCTGGAGACCTGCCTTCCATGTAGGCAGGCACCATCCAATCTGCTGGGGCCCAAAGATAACAAAAATAGAAAGTTGTGTATCTCCTGGGGCTGGCATACATTTTTCCACTCCAGAACTTGGATTAAAGTGTAACCATACACGTGATAAGGGGTTAACAGACAAAATATAAAAGGAACTCAATTCAATTTCAAGAAAATAACTCATTTTAAAAATGGGCAAAGGACTTGAACAGACATGTCTCAAAAGAAGACATACTTCTGGCCAACAAATAGATGAAAAACTGCTAAGCATCACTAACCATTAGGAAAATGCAAATTAAAACCACAATGAGATATCACCTCACACCTGTTAGAATGTTTATAATCAAAAAGATGAGAATTAAGTGATGCCATGGATGTGAAGGGAATTCTTGTACACTGTAGGTAGAAATGTAAATTAGTACAAACATTATGGAAAATGGTATGTAGGTTCCCCCAAAAACCTAAAAATAGACCTACCATACAATCTCTCTTCTGGGTGTATTTCCAAAAAAATGAAACGCAGTATTATTAAAAGGATGTCTGCACTCCCAGGTTCACTGCAGCACTAGTCACAAAATCCAAGATATAGAATCAATCTAAGTGTCCATCAATGGATAAAGGGATGAAGAGAATGTAGTATATAGATACAATGAAATACTAATTGGGCTTAAAAGAGAAGGAAATTCTGTCACTTGCTACAACATTAATGAACATGGAGGACATCATGCTAAGTGAAAAAAGCCAAGCATGGGAAGACAAATACCACATGATCTGACTTACATGTGGAATCTTAAAAAGTCGAACTCACAGAAGTTGACAGCAGAATGATAGATACCAGGGCCTGGAGAAGGAGCAATGGGGATATACCGCTCAAAGAGTACAAAATTTCAGATACAGAGAAGGAAGAAATTTTTATATCAATTAAATAACTGTCAATAATAATGTATCATATTTTTAAATAACTAAATTTCAAGTGTCTCACCACAAAAAATAAGATGATATGTTATTCAGCTGCATGAAATCACTCTACACTCCACACATTTCAAAATATCACACTGTACCCCTTAAATGTATACAAGTATGACTGTCAATTACAATATTAATTTTCAAACAATTATTTAAGAATGTTTATCAATATTCCTCTCGGTTTGTCAAAAGATGCCAAGTAAGGTGTGTGTAGAGTGGCAAGCCAAACTCATTTTAGATACTGATGTCCTTCCACTCCCATTATAAAATTCCTTTCCTAATCCTTAACACCCTCTGAATGCCAGTGGAGCTATGGACTTCTTGATCTGGTTAGTAGCTCTTGCAATGTCATTAATAATTAAAGAAACAGCTTATTTAGCTTAAGGATTAATTTACCTCAAGAGTATTTCTATTACAAATATATTAATCAACAAAACCAAGTAATAATATTTTACTAAGCGCTTACAGGCAAGACAACTGTGTGTGAATGTGTGTGTATATGTGTGTATTCAAAAGGAGCCATGGATGTCCAGGGAGCCTGTCTTGATACATAACTCATCACTCAGGATTTCTCAAAGTGAAATACAAGGAAGTATTTTCATTTCCATGGTTAAATGACTTTGCAATATGCTGTAAATTATATCATCTTCTTTGAAAATAAATCACCTATCAAAAGCTATGGGAAGTCCTCCAGAGAGGAAACCTATTAACTTTCTTTAGGCAAATATCCTCCAAATTTATTTGAACCACAAAATCTTTTACTTCCTTAACAACTATTAATGTCGAACTTCTCAAAGTGCTGCAGTTTATGCCTTTTCCCATTTATAACAGATCTGTTAACTCTGAGAATCACTGTTAATATTGAAAAATCAACAAATCTGGATGGAAGTTACAACATAAATACAACCTATTTTTATTTAATAGTCACTTAATGATACACATTTACAAATAAACAACTAATAACTTTAAATAACTATACTTTTATTATTTTTAGAAACACATGACAAGTGACAACAGGCTGATAACTGGTTTTTATGCAAAAACAACCAAACACCACAACACTGAAAAGTATTCAGCACATTTTCCTACATTTCTTACCTTTAGTTTTCTGTAATTATAAATGCTCAGTAATGTAAACCTAATTGCTCATGAATTATCAGGAAAAGTTAAAACTAATTGCTCTTGAAGTATCAAGAAAAGTTTAAAAGTGTGTTTGTTGAAAATTCACCGATAAAAAAATTCATTATCTTCTAATGCTGTGAAAACTCAGGGTCATTAAAACAAATTTTCAGGTAAACAAACATCCCATACCCTAATTTGGATAGATGTAGTTTACTGCTAAAAGAAAGAAAGAAGAGACAGACAGAGAGAAAAGGAAAGGAAAGAAAGAGAAAGAAAAAGAAAGAAGAAAAAAGGGATAGAGGTAAGCTGAGTATTAAACAAATAATTTTCAAGTACACTATGACAAATTTTTTACAATGTATAGCAGGAGTCACATTAGGAGTCAGAAGTCCTAACAGAAGCAAGAATAGAAGGGGAAAAAAATCTAACAGGA